CCATGATATATCAATTACAGATTTGTGTATATATAATTTTTTTTTCAGTTGGAATAACTTTTGGGAATTTTCTTACAGTAATGTATTATTAATAGAGACTTCTAGTGCAAGAACTTTCAAATTTCCTCAAATTCTTATGTTCTTCGATATATTAATTAAATCACGTAGATTTTTGTTTTCCTTTTTCTTAATTATTAGTTGGGCATTTAGACTGATCTTGAAGTGGAATTAGAAGATATATTTACTTCAGTTTTTCTCTTTAGGTACTTGATCCTTGTCATGTAATTTCTGCTACTTGGAAATATTTTGTATTACTCTAATTTTGTATATTTTCCTGCTACTTGATTTTTTATTTTCGTTTAACTTCTTTATGATATTCCACCTTTGCAGTTAATTTTCGCTAGCCAGCCGTTTGTTACATTAATCTAATTTACTCAATTGCCATGCTGCATCATATTTTGTGTAATCTTTAGCCTATTTATGGTTTTTAACCTATGTTGGTTGAATTATTTAATTTTAGCGCCACACTCGTGTTGGACATGACCTGGCATTGGTGTGGTTGTGGGATGTCTGTCCTACACGTACTGTGCATGTCATTCCCTAGATGATCAAGAACCAAAGGTTTATGATATATAAAGACAATAATCAAGACTCTTAGATTGTAAGTTGAAAAGAACAAAAATGCATTTTCATGAATGTATAGATCTTGAACATTTTTATATTATAAATAGTTAATCAATTATAAATTACTAATTCCTTGAAGGAAATTTATCAATTACTAGTTAGTTTTTTTCCCCTTTCACCACAAATGTCAGTTTGCTATCTTTTTGGCTAAGAAGTCATTAAGTATATGACATTGTCATAGCTTTGTAAAAGTATATTTTTATTATTTTTCATATCAAATGAATACCAGTACCATAGTCCAATTTATGAACTCTTACTGACTGAGTTCTCATGTCTTGACAAAAATTATCGAGTTAGACACTTAGATCCATCCACACCCCATAAAGGTACAAGTCTGAGCAACACAGAATTTAACCTTTGCGATTTAACTTGTGGTATTTGGCAGCCTATGAAGTTATTCTAATTTAGTAATTTCCCTTCTAGGCACTTTATATTTATCTATATTGAGACTGGTTTAGTTCATTCAGTTTGAATTTGCTATAAATTTTTTTCTAACAATTTGTTTCTTTCAGGAACATAAAAAGAAATTGAATTTTTCATTTTTGTTTTCATGTAACTTTTTTAAGTGCAAGTTTGTGCTATTACTAACAACTAGAAGTTCGTATAGGTGTTTTCTCTAAAAAAATAGTTAAGTTAATATATGTGTTGTTATTCATGAGAAGTAGAGGTCAAAGGAGATTGTCTAGGGATGAGAATTGGGTCCTCCTTCCTCTATCTGCTTGAAGCCTGAACAACAAGTGGCATCTAGCTGGACTTTGGAATTTTGAAAAATCATCGTCATATAACTTTTGTCAGTGAAAGGCCATCTGCGAATGGTGCCATGTATCAAGCTTCGTGCTGTTAGTTGCACTGAATAGTTGCTTTAATTTTTAGATCACATTATGTGCATTATTTTGTAGTTTATTATTTTTTTTTGGTCGCAATCCTTCTATATCAATTAATAACTTTGCTTTTTAAGTTTTGCTAACTATTCCATGGGTTTGAGC